GCCCCCCACAGGCTGAGGGCATGCGCTACCTGGAGGAGCGGCGCATCGTGCATCGAGACCTGGCCGCCAGGAATGTGCTCGTGGATGACGACCTGGCCTGCAAAGTGGCCGACTTTGGCCTGGCCCGGCTGCTCAAGGTCAGTGCGGGAGGGGCTGCCGGCCCCGCAGGCGGCGGAGCCAGGGGAGCGGAGGGCGCCACCTCATCACCTCACCGCGGCGTCCCCTCACCAGGATGACATCTACTCCCCAAGCAGCGGCTCCAAGATCCCCGTCAAGTGGACAGCGCCCGAGGCTGCCCACTACCGCGTGTACTCCCCGAAGTCGGACGTCTGGTCCTTCGGGGTGCTGCTCTATGAAGTGTTCTCTTATGGCCAGTGTCCCTACGAAGGTGGGCCTCCAGGCAGCCGAGGGTGGGCGCACCCTGCCCTGCGGGTTGCTCCCCTCAGCAGGGGCACATGGCCTCGAGGCTGCCCATGGAACAGGGTCTGGTGAAGGCTGGGGGCAGGATCCACGGTGACTCCTCCTCCCCAGGAATGAGCAACCACGAGACGCTGCAGCAGATCGAGAGAGGGTACCGGCTTCCGCGCCCAGCCGCCTGCCCCGCCGAGGCCTACGTGCTCATGCTGGCGTGCTGGAAAGGCAGCCCGGAGGAGCGGCCAGCCTTCGCCATGCTGCAGGCGATGCTGGGCACCATCCACAGGCGCCTCCACCCCACCCTCACATGACCCGGGCGCTGCCGGGGCTGGACTGCTCCCTGGGCCTCTCTTCAGGACAATGTCTGCCTCAGCTCATCCAGGGTGCCGGACCTACAGCCCTCAGAGCCCCTGGCCGCGGGCCTCAGTGCTGACACACACAGGTGTGCACACACAGGCCAACATACAAAAACATGCACTTGGAGAGCAGAGGGGCTGGCATCCTCCGCCCGGCGTGGCCACGTCCCTGGCATGGGCAGGACCCCGAGAGAAGGCCTGTCGAGCTGGGTCTACTCCCCCTCAGGGTGACTGGGGGAGAAGCTCTGAGCCGGCTGAGGTCCCTCCTGCCTGGGACCCCCTCCCAGGGTCAAGAGCAGCTGGTGGGGCTTCCCAATTTTCCCCAGAGTTCCGCCAGGGCCTTGTTGAAGGGGCCGGCCCAGGCTCTGGGCACGTGGGATGCAGCACCGCCTGCACACGCACGCCTCTGCCTGTGGGCAGCCCCTGTGTGTGCAGGGAGGCAGCCCTCAATAAACATGCGTGCACTAAGTCAGCGGCACAGACGTGCGTCACCACAGGCCTCAGCCCCAGCCAGAGCAGGGCTGGTGTGTCATGATGGAGGAGAGCTGGCCCCTGTGTCCCAGCCCCCATCCCGGGCAGCCAGAGGCAGACGATCCCCTGACCCCCTGCAGGAGCTTCGAGAACAGCCCTTTCCATCTCCCTGGGCTGGAGTTGAGGGCGGCTGGGGTTGGTCTTACCATGGGAGGCCGTCTGGGGGGCGGGTGACTCATCTGCCTCTGTGGCGTAGAGTCCAGCACGACCTGGTTGTGCAGTCAGGCCACGTGGAGGCGGCTGTGGGAGGCGGGCAGCTGCGGGCAGCTCTCCCGGGAAGGGGAGCAGCATCTCCAGAGCGAGGCAGCTCCCAGCGCTGATCCCAAGCCACCAGCTGACATCGCCGAGTGAGGAGGTGCCTCAACTGCCCAGCTCTGGAGCGAATGGATGAACAAACGGGGGAGCAGGAGGAGCGGCTGGGTGGGGTCTGCCTTCAGGGTCCCCAACCCCCACCCTCCTGGGAGCCCCACACTGGCAGCTATACCCCAGAGGCTTGTGGGACAGAAGGGACAGAGGCAGGCAAGCCCCTTGGGTGCAGATAAGCGACCCCCAGTGCTATTCAGAGAGCAGAGGCTGCTGGGGCTGGGTTGGGGGCGAGCGGCGGGGGCAGCACAGGGATGAGGTAGGAACCGGACACATCAGGCTCAGGTGCACCTGGCTTTGGATCAGGGTTGAGTGGGAGGGCAGGAGTCCCCAGAGCCTCAGACCCTGGTTAGGCCGCCCCAGCCCTGGTGGGAGTGGGGGCAGGAGGGTTTGGGCAGCAGCTGCTGGCCCTTCCTTCCTGGGCTGGGCCGAGGAGCTGGGCCCCAGAAAGTGAGGGCTGGAGCTGAGCTCCTCCGGTTCGGGGGGAGCAAGGGACTCCTCTGGGCAGGGGCTCCGGCCACCAGGAAAGGCTCACCCTCTCTGCCTGGCACTGGGGTGTGTGGGCGGGCTGGGCAGGCAGCCTCAGAGGGAAGGTATGAGCGAGGCGTGGTCACAGGCCAGAGAGGCAGGTGTGCATGGGGCTCACCTTGGGTGTCTCACCAGCCATGTGCTGGACAGGTTTGTGCTCCGGAGCCTCTGGGCGGGGCTGGGACATAGTCTCGAAACTGGAGCTTCCTGGTGTGACTCAGGCAGAGCCCCAGGCTCGTCTGCACCAGGAACTCGAGGCCCCTTGGACTGGAGTGTATTGGTGAGCAGTTGAGGAAGGCTTGGAACCCCCTGGGCCCAACAGGCGCTAAGCTGCCCATCACCCTGTGTCCTGCTCCCGCTAAGCCCTGCCCCCTGCAGGGTGCCCACGGCCACTTTCCCACGCATCTTGGTCAGCGCTGAGCGGGGCTGCCCAGCGCAGCACACGGATGACCTTGTTAAACAACATGCCTCCTGTTCTTTCCTCGAGATGGGTGACAGGGCCATTACTCCTCCTTGATGAAGGGAGAGTTTCAACAAGCAGGACTCTCGCTCATTTGTCCTCACAGCCTCCTGATGTAGCAGCAAATCCTGGCACCTCCTCAGACAGGAAGTCACTCAGGCCCCAGGCCAGCAGGCTGACCCCGGACCCACGTCACCCTGGACTGCCTGTGGCAGCCACACCAGCTCCTCCCGGCGGCCCTGAGGTCAGGGAAGGGAGTGCCTTGTCCATGGTCTCCGTCCCTGACCCAGCTCCAAAACACCCCCATGGTCCAGGTTCCACTAAGGTGGACCCAAGGGGCCCTGGCTGGTCACTCTGCCCTCCCTCTCTTGGGGCTCAGGCCCAGCCATGTGGTCGCTGGGTGGGCACATTTCCCACAGAGGGTGGGCAAGAGTGGCGCCAGACTGACCTGGCCCAGGAGGTGGAACAGGTGGGGCTGCCAGGCCCTCTAGGGTGGAGCCCAGGTGCTTAGGGAAGTGGGCAGCTCATTGGCTGGGGGTGTGGGTGGCTGTCAGAACTGGCCCTGCCCTTCCGCACCTCCCAGCCCCGGTGTTCAGAGCAGCCCAGCGACAGGCAGGGGAGGCCAGGTGGCTGGGTCCTTCCACGTGAGACACCATGGTGTCCCGGGGCCGGGCCCGCCTGGGCCCCCAGTACGTGGGCCTCTGGGACTTCAAGGCCCGGACAAACCAGGAGCTAAGCTTCCGGGCAGGTGACCTCTTCCACGTGGCCCGGAAGGAGGAGGAGTGGTGGTGGGCCACACTGCTGGACGCAGAGGGCGGGGCCCTGGCTGAAGGCTACGTGCCCCACAACTACCTGGCCGAGAGGGAGACGGTGGAGTCTGAGCCGTGAGTGCCTTGTGGTCTTTGCGGGCCACCAAGCTGCTCCCCCACCCCCACCCCTCGTCCCCGGGGCCCTGCCATCCATTAGAGCTCAGAGCAGGGCAGGGCCTCCAGGGAATAGAGCTCGGCACCCTGTGGCTGGGCTCAGGGAGAGGCAGGGGTGCAGAGCTGGCCCAGGAGGGTGAGGACTTGTGGCTTCGTCTCCTTGGGCCCCCAAGTCGGGGCTGGACCCCACCATCCATGGCTGTACAGCATTGCCGACTGGCATCTGGGGGGAAGCCGAGGCCTGGGGCCCCTCCCCTGGGCTCCCACATAATCACTTCGTGGTGCCAGGACCCAGAGAGGACAGAAGAGGCCACAGGGGGCTCCCGGGTGGCTGGCCCGCAGTGAACCCAAGGCAGGGCTGGGCCTTTTGGGGAGCCAAGTTCCTCTCACCTTCTAACCAACTGAAACCAGATGTGCGACCTAGTTAGGGAGGGAGGAAGGTCATTGCGACATGCCCTGCTCGGGTGTGGGCTGCGGGCACCTGCTTCTTGCACCTTCACGGCTGCCTCGTCATGGCAAGGTGGCTCCGGGAGCGGGCAGCTTCCCTGAGAGGCTACCCAGGATACTTGAACCACAGGGGCAGCCTTCGATGGGCGCATCCACGAGGCTTGAGCTGGTTCCCTGGAGCTCTGGGAGGGGGGTGTCCAGCAGGACAGACCCAGTAGCCTGCCTGTGCACCCACCTTGTTTGAGCTCGCGCTGTGTGTGGGCAGCACAGTGAACGCATGTAGGGATGACCACCTACCGAGGGGAGACTGGCAATGAGCAAGCTCAGCCGGAAGCAGGTCGGCTTCAGAAGGCAGGGTCTCTCAGGGGGTGTGTTCGGGGTAGGACCAGCTGGAGGAGGCAGCGGGGCGGCAGCGTGGTGCGGGGTGAGCAGGGAGTCCTCTGAGGTGTGCATGCTGGGCTGTGCTGGGCAGTGGGCTTCCGTGCAGGGGCCCAAGTTCCAATGGTGCTGAGGGAGTTGGGGTGCCAAGGACAGAGCAGCTGGCAGCAGAGGTCACCTGGGAGATGGCGGGCCCCACCCTGCAGCCCAGAGTCCAGGGCTCGCCATGCCCTGATGCTGGCTGCTGGCGAGTAGGCATGGGGCGAGTGTGTGGGTGAGTGTGCAAATGTGGGTGTGTGACCAGTCAGTTGTGCCCAGCCAGCTGCTCAGGTCCCTGGTGCTGGAACACAGCCTGACTGTGGCCCAGGTTGCGGAAGGTGGTCACAGAATCACAGAACCATGTGGTCCCCTGGGATGGATAGCACATCCCTGGGACAGGGTGAATCTGACCACACACAGGGGACAGCCCAGGCCAGAGTGGGGGCGGGGGGGGGGAGATGCCTGTTCTGCAGCCTCTGGGTCACTGGGGACTTTCTAGAACCAGCCACTTGGGACATTTGGGTTCTGTGATGGGCAAAGAAGAAGCCTCAGGGTGGAGACAGTATCAGCTAGCAGCTGGGGGTCCCGGTGACAGGGCTGGGACTCAGGGTGGGACGGCAGGGATCAGCATGGAGTCAGTGTGGGCTCTGGGCCTCCTGGCGCCCCTGCAGGTGGTTCTTTGGCTGCATCTCCCGCTTGGAAGCCTTGCACCGACTGCAGGCAGACGGTACGGAGCCAGGGGCCTTCCTGATCAGGGTCAGCGAGAAGCCGGGCGCCGACTATGTCCTCTCAGGTACAACAGCCCCTCTCCCGTTCTGCAAGGGCGCCGGACTTGGTGCCTCATTACCCCAGACCCTTTCTCCCTCCCTCTGGCTGTGACGTCCAGGACATCGAGGCCTGTCCCGGGGATCCTCAGGCCCTGCGGGGGTGGCTGTCCTGTGGTCCCAGCCTGGATTTTCTACTTTCACTGTTGGGAGGACACAGGGCAGGCGGCTGGGTGTGGTGCCCTCCTGGCCTGCACTCCTCTTGAGACAGTGGTGCTCACACCGGCTCATGAGCCCTCCTTTGCCCATGGCCCTGATCCAGTGCGGGACAGGCAGGCTGTGCGGCACTACAGGATCTGGAGGTGTGCTGGCCGGCTGCACCTCAGCGAAGCCGTGTCCTTCCCCAGTCTGGCCCAGCTCGTGGGCCACCACCAGGCACACAGCCTGTCCAAAGGCCTGCGGCTGACTGTGCCCTGCTGGAAGGTAGGCCCCGTGCCCCCTCCACCCCCCGCTCCGGATCTGCCCACCGCAGCCCTTTCTCCTCAATGACACGGATCCTCAGGGTCATGCGTGGGACTCCAGGGGGCTCTGGCTGGGGTCCTACAGAGCTGGAGTTGCAGGTGGGGCAGAGGATGGTCCCCTTTTGCCAGTCACCCTCACCTTTGGACCATAAGAGGTCAGGGATGTCCCCGCTGTGTCCTTTGTCTCTGAGACAAGGCCATGTGCCCAGCTGCTAGCTGAGTGGCAAGTGGGCCAATGTCACAGGCCCAGGGCAGGCAGTGAGGGTGGGTGTTTACCGGACACAGCAAGGGGCAGCCCCTGGAGAGCACAGCATGTCCTGGACGCTGGGACCCTTGACCAGGGCTCCCGCTGCTGGGGTCAGAGGGACTTCTGGAAGGGCTGGGTGATGGGGTGGCACCCCCTGCTGTGTCCCTGCCTGTCCCTGCAGCACGAGCGGGAGCCCCTGCCCCTCTGTGCCGACTGGGAGCGGCCCCGGGAGGAGTTCACGCTCTGCAGGAAGCTGGGGGCCGGCTACTTCGGGGAGGTCTTCGAGGGGCTCTGGAAAGGCCAGGTCCGCGTGGCCATTAAGGTGATTGCCCGAGGTGAGTGGCCCCAGGCCAGGGGCTCTGCCTGACCACCCGCCTCCGTCCCACCAACAGGGACCTCTGGCCTCACTCACTGGGTGTGGGGCCTGGCAAGCCGGGGCCTGGCATCCGTGAGCCATGCCCTGCCCTGCCTGTGCCACTGGTGGCACCTACAGCCACATGGAGGTGACATTTCCTCTCAGTTGCAACTGTTCTTACCTAAATGCATTTTTATAAAGGGCACAATCAATTTTTTATATTCCATTTTAATTACATTGTTATTTCTTTTCGAAGAAGATTTTAATGGATTTTTAGAGACAGGAAGGGAGAGGGAGAGAGAAACATTGATTGGCTGCCTCCTGCACACCCCCTACCAGGGATGGAGCCCACAACAGGGCATGTGCCCTGGCTGGGAATTGAACTGCCAACCTTTCTGTGCATGGGAGGATGACCAACCACTGAGCCACACTGGGCAGTGTAGCTGTTAAATTCTTCTCGTTAATGGAAAGCCACCAAACCACGGTTGCTAGTAACCTGACAGGCCCATCTGAAATCTCCTTGGTAGGCACCAGGGGCAAGAACCAGCGGCCCAGGGCCCATGGGAACACATGGGCATGTTTCAGCTCCTCATGTGGCTGGGGCAGGGGTGGGCCAAAGTGGTATGAGGGTGCCTGGGTGTGGTCAGAGTGGAGTGGGTGTGGCGGACCCTCATGGAGACCCCTATGGGGTGCGGGGCTGCTGTGGGACCAGTGCATCTGCCCTGCACTCTGGCCTTGGGAGTTGGGCCCGAGAGAGCACCCACAGTTACTGAGGGTGGTTGTTGGGCCTGCACCCACCGACCTGCCCATCTTGCAGACGACCTCCTGCACCAGCACACGTTCCAGTCGGAGATCCAGGCCATGAAGAAGCTTCGGCACAAGCACATCCTGGCACTGTATGCGGTGGCGTCCGTGGGGGACCCCGTGTACATCGTCACAGAGCTCATGGCAAAGGGGAGCCTGCTGGAGCTCCTGCGGGGTAAGTGGCGGGGGGGCCTGGGGGCCGCACTCAGGGACCAAAGTGACACATGCTCGCTGGGGGCAGGGGGCAGGAAGGACGCTGAAGGAAGAAAACCCTGACTGCCCACACCATGCACAGGATGCCGGGGTCTCCCGACTCATTGCCGGGCCTTTCCTGGGTAAGGAACATGTGCGACGTGTGTGCTAAATGTGCTGTCTGTTCATTGTGAAGTCTGAGGAATAGAGATAAGGGCAAATACGACAAGGAAAGCCCCCTCACTCCTGCAGCCATGGCCACCTGAGTCTTATCCTCTGACAAGCCCCAGGGTCTCAGGTACCACCCAGCCGGACGGTGGCTGCGGCTGAGCGGAGGGCCACAGCGGGCAGGAGTGGCCCAGTGTCAGAGATGTTGAAACGGGAAGAAATGTAGGATGATGGCCAGTATGTGATGTGTGCACCTGGGACCTAGTCTTCCTGACCAAAAGTCTGACTGTCGAGCTGCTCACAGAAGCGGCGTGGCAGGCACTGTCCCACGTCACTGACGGTTCTTCAGAAAGGACAGTTGACGGTTGACGCACTCCCACACAGGTGTGCTGCCTCCTTGGCCAGTGGCCGGTAGGACCTTTCTGTTTTCCATCTGACGGTGCCCGTGTACTGACAGCCAGAGTTCCCATCGCCTGCTTCAGGTTCCCAGAAGCGAAGTATAGATGTGTATGAACCTCTTTAGGGCTGGAACAGAACTGCCTCTGGAAGGGCTGCGTGGGGGCTGCTGTCCCAATTTTAAATCAGCCCCGCGCTCTGCCCAGCTCCTCCACTGCAGCAGAGCCGGCAGAGAAGACATCACTGACCGGTCCCTTTGCCTCTGCAGAGTCTGATGAGAAGGCCCTGCCTGTCTTGGAGCTGGTGGACATTGCCTCCCAGGTGGCCGAAGGCATGTGCTACCTGGAGTCGCAGAATTATATCCACCGGGACCTGGCTGCCAGGAACATCCTCGTGGGAGAGAACAACATCTGCAAAGTGGGGGATTTCGGGCTGGCCAGGCTCATCAAGGTGGGGCCCAGGAGGGCCTGGGGCATAGCGGGGCACCCTCTGTGGTTCCTGAGGGGACAGGAGCTAAGGGCTGGGGCTCTGGGAGGGGGCACACAGGAAGCTGCTCACAGGGCCTTTCAGAGCTGGGGCAGGGGGGTCGGGGGTGTGTGAGGCACTTGGCCAGTGCAGGAACCACAGGAGCGTCTCTGCTGAGTGGGAGAAGCAGGGACCCAGCCTTCACTTGCTCACTCCTTCACTCGTGATGCTGCCTTAGCGTCCGCAGTTCAGGCAGCAGAGGATGTGTGTGGTGCGTGAGCTCAGGGTAAACACCTCCCAACCCCCAGAGAAAGTTTTGTTGTGGAGACTGGAAGACACAAGGGTCAGAATCATGCAGTGGGCCGCGTGGTCCCTCGGTCGACAGCCACACCTGTTTCCTGCACACCTGCCGGTGCCGGTTCATGCCTTTGCTCCTTGCGTGGGCCGCTCAGGAGCTGCTGTTTCGGTGTTCCTTTCCCTCCTCGCTCGGTGGCCAGCAGGCGACAGGTCACTGGAGAAGGCAGGCTGACTGTGACTGCCAGCCTTTCTGAGTTTGTCCAGTGGTGGCCAGCCAGCCTTTCTCGGCATCTCTGAACTCGTGAACTTGAGCACATCTGCAGGCTCCGCCAGTGGCCACTGTGCTGCTGGGTCAGCAGCCCCATGTCTGGTCTCTGCCACCCGTCTGTCTTCTCTGCCCACAAGCCCTGGGTCAGCCTGTCTCCAAGTGGGCCGCATCCCCCTCTAGTGGTGGCTGTGATGGCCTGTGTCCCAACTGCTCGCACTACAGGCAGGCAGCCACAGCCCTGCTCACCAGGCACCGGCTCCCATGCCTGTCCTGCTCTGGAGGTGCAGGCAGCCCCTGCCTCCCCCAGCTTGTCTGTCATTGTAGGAGGACATCTACCTTTCCCACGACCGCAAAATCCCCTACAAGTGGACTGCCCCAGAGGCGCTCTCCCGAGGGCACTACTCCATCAAATCCGACGTCTGGTCCTTCGGGGTTCTCCTCCATGAGATTTTCAGCAGGGGCCAGACGCCCTATCCAGGTACTGGGCCCAAGCAGTGTGGGAAGTGGCCATCACTTTGGACCTGTTACCTGGACACCATTCTGAGCCCCTGGGTGCTGTCCAGAGTGAGGGCCTAGGAAATGGGTGTGGGGGTGCCGTGGGTGAGAGCGTGGCCCAAGGCATCCGAGGAGGCACAGTAGCCGGTGGGCACTGGTCTCCCAGCTGCCGTCCCCCTTCCACAGGCATGTCCAACCACGAGGCCTTCATGAGAGTGGACTCTGGCTACCGCATGCCCTGCCCCCCCGAGTGCCCGCCCAGTGCCCACAGGCTGATGCTCGCATGCTGGCACCGGAGCCCTGAGCAGAGGCCCTGCTTCCGAGCCCTGCGGGAGCAGCTCTGCGGCTTCACCAGCTACGAGAACCCAACCTGAGTGCCGAGTGCGGTCCTCCCCACCCACTGCCTGGAGGTGGCAAAAGGCACGACAGCGCCTAGATCCAGACTGTATGCTCGGGGCAGGAAGCTGCGCCAGCCACCAGGGCGCCCTGCCCTGGGCAGAGATGCTCTCTGCGGCCTGGAGCCGACTGCCTCTTCTGAGACACCAGCACCAGAAACATGCCAGGCCCTCCCACCTGCCTCGACGTGGAGCCGTGCAGGAGTGGGGAGCGGAGCTGTGCCTGGCACTGACCCAGTCCACCAGCCGTCAGGACCAGTGCTTGGCCTTCCAGCCAGTACATGGTGGGAGCCTGGGTCCTGGCTGTGCCCTCCTTTTGCCACCTGGCCCCTGCCTGCCCCGACTCGAGGCTGGGAAGACACCCAGCACTCAAACAGGCTCTGCTGGTGGTTGGGCGCTGCCACCTACCATCCCAGGACCAGGTGGCTGCCCCAGTCTCCCTGCCACTGTTATCAGGAGCTGCCTCCGAAGGCTCTGGGGCCTGGTCTGGACACTATGGCCAGAAAGATGGGGTGGGGCACTTGCCCATCCAGCTTTGGGACCACAGGAGAGCCTGGGTAAGCCCCTCCAGTGGCCTTGGAATAAACTCATGCAGCTATCTATAGCACAGGGTGGGAGGGGAGGGGAGGGGGCGGGAGAGGAGGGCTCCCTCAGCGGCCAGCTGAGTCCCACCTCACACCACGCCCCCACCCACTAAGCTGCCCTCTCCTGGCCAACAGATGTGGGTCATTCTGTTGGCCACTGGAGACCTGTGGACACCAGGCAGGCAGATAGATTGCACAACCACCCTTCCCAGCTCCCTGAGCTGGACTTTGCCCAAAGCTGGGCTGCCTGTGGTGAGAACACCCCTCTCCGGAGCACCCCCCCTCCCCGACCCTTAGCTGTTAAGTGCCTGGGGCCATGGCCCAACCCCTCCTGGGCTGGGAGGGCCCTGCTCAGTGTCCTACAGGAGCTAGCGGTGGCACACTTATGGGAAGTCACCTGGCAGACAGTGTGGCTCAGTGCTTGTTCCATACCAGTTGGTAGGGACAACCTTTGCCTGTCCCTACCCCTCCCTCCCTGGTATTGAGGGGCCTCATGTCTTTCAAGGGGCACCAGGTCCCTCTAGCTGACAGCTCCAAAACCCATAGCCTCCCAGAGGCCAAGGGGCAGGGGCTGAGTGACCTAGTAGACATGACCTCAGGGTTACACAGATCACAGACCACCCACTCTCCCAGGTGCCCACGTCTCTCAGGCACAAGGCTCCACACTCATCACAGCAGCTCACTAGGGAGCTCACTAGGGGTGGGGGATCGGCCAGGCCTGAGGTAGCCCCCCAGCAAGGAGTCCCCGGGGGCAGGGCCAGCTCCCCACCTCCACCAGGAAGTGAGGAGGTTGAGTGACTTCTCCCACTGCCTGGACACACAGCTCAGGAACACCATCAGGGATGCTGGCTGCTTCTCATTTATTTTCCACTTGGTGCAAGGCACATGGGTGTGGGTGTCAGGCAGGCTTGCCTGTGGCTTGGGTAGTAAAGAGTGGGGCTCTCTCACCTTCCTTCAGTGTGTTGCTGTTTTGATATAAAAGAGCCCAGCTGCTTCTGCTTGCTGCAGCCGGCCTAGCCTACGCCAGGTGGGGTGAGAGGGAAGGGGATGGATTCCGAGCTGGGGGGAGAGCCTGTGGTCAGAGGTTGCTCCCAGCTGCCACTTCCCCCGCTGGCCCCAGGAAGGTGCACTCACTGCTCTGGGGACTCCAACACTGTGGCCATGAATGGGAGAGTGGACTTCCCAAAAAAGAAGCTTGCCCACCAGTGACCGGGGTCGGCTTTGGGGAGACCTGAGAGAAATACAGTGGGGTCACAGCGCTGCTGCCCACTCCTGGGACCCCCTCCAGATGGTTCCGACCACAGAAGGGAAGTGGGCCTGCTGCACTCACCCGGGGGGTGGGGGATGGCTTCCCCCGGGTACTCGGCACTGCCAGAGGAGCTGTTACTGGAAGTGGAGCCCAGGCGGCCTGGAAGGAGAGGTCAGCTTCAGCCTGCAGCCATTCCCTAGGCAGCCTGGGCTTCTTAAAGGACTAGAGCTTGGCGGGGAGTTGGGGGGCAGTCAGACCTGGGGGCCGTGGGCGAGGGGCTGACTTACGCCGGTAGTAGTCGTGGGTGGCCACGAGGGAGCCGCTGGAGGGGATGGCGGCCATGCTCTTGCTTGTGCACCGGTGGAAACCTGCGCACGGGGGTTCGGGGCCCCTTTGGTAACCAAATGATCCTGGGAAAGGGCTTCCCACCCGGGCAACCGGGAGGGGCGGCAGCGCCGGTTTCTCGAGCCCAGATGTGGCTCCGGAACGCCCGGGTCGCGGACCGCCTCCTCCACGCCGGGCGCCAGCAGCTCTGACCA